TCCTAGCTTCTTCTAGACACAGCTCAGGTGCCTCTTTATAAATGAAGCCTTTTCTGAATTCCTCCCTCCCCCCTTGTTAATGCTTTCTCCTTTTGGAAATTACTTTGTAGAATTTTTGTATATACTTTGTATTTATTTATCTTTGTAGATTTCCTTTCTCCCTTAAGAGAATGTAAGTTCTTTGAGAGCAGGGACCAAGGGTTTTGGTTTTGGTCTTTTCTTGGCATTTTCAGTTTGGGATCTCTTTCAGGAAGTGATTGGTGGATTCTTTAGGGCAATTTTCTTTGATAATTTCCTGAAGGATGTTGTCCAGGCTCTTTTTTTTCATCATGGTTTTCAGGTAGACCAGTCATTTTTAAATTGTCTCTCCTGGCTCTATTTTCCAGGTCAGTTGTTTTATCAATGAGGTATTTTACTTTTCTTCTTTTTTTCATTCTTTTGTTTCTGTTTTACTGATTCTCGTTCTCTCATAGTCATTAGCTTCCACTTGCCCCATTCTAATTTTTAATGAGTTGTTTTCTTCTATTAGATTTTGTACATCCTTTTACATTTGACCAATTCTACTTTTTAATGACTTATTTTCTACAGTTAATTTTTGTCCTTCCTTTTCCAGGCTATTGACTTTCTCTTGCCTATCTGTCATTTCTTTTCCCAATTTTTCTTCTGCCTCTCTTATTTGAGTTTTAAAATCCTTCTTGAGCTCTTTTGAGAAGGCTTTTTGGGCTTGAGACCAGTTTATATTCCCCTTTGAGGTTTTGGATGCAGGTATATTGACAATGTTGTCCTCTTCTGAATTTGTGCCTTGATCTTCCCTTTCCCCATAATAAAAATCCATGGTCATTGTCCGTTTCTGCTTTTTGCTCATGGTGTTTGCCTATTTCTTGATTTTTTCAAAAAAAAAAAGTTGAGCTCTCCTGCTGGAGTGAAGGGAACACTTACCAAGCTTCTTTTCTTGCTCACCTGGGCCTTGTGTAGGGATATTTTGTTGCTGGTGGATGTTTGTCAGTCTGGAACTTTGCTTCTTTGAATTGTGCTGCCCAGAGTGCTGAGGCATCGGGTGATTTGGCTGCTGGAGAATGCTGTCACCCATGGTGATTTTCTGAGCTGATGTCTACTGGTTCCCCTGCCTTTATTGAAGCTCTTAGGGGGTCCTAGTGTTGGCACTTGCCTGCTCTACCACCCTGGATCTCAGAATCTCCTCCTGGTATACTGAGGATGGGGCTTGCCACTGGTTTGCTGGGATGCCTCCCATCTGTACTGCTCCTCTTCTCCCAGAGGGAGAGGGGCCTTTCCCCTTAATCTCCCATGCTTCCTGGGATACAAGACTGCTGTGCCCTGTCTTTCTGCTGGCTTGGGGATTTTCCTGGGGCTATATTTTCTGGGTTTTCAGAGGGCAGTAAGGGAGGGTGAGAGTGACTTTCTTTTTTTTTTCTTTTTGGCTAGACAGTGGGGTTAAGTGACCTGCCCAGGATCACACAGCTAGTAAGGCCAGATTTGAAGTCAGGTTCTCCTGAATCTAAGGCTGGTGTTCTATCCATTGTGCCACCTCCCTACTCCTGTGACTTACTTCTTACTCTACCGTCTTGGCTCCTGGAAGTGGAACTCTAGCTGGCTAACCAGCATTTAAGTTTACTAATAAATTTTATGTAATAAAACCAGAGTAATTATCATGAACATATAAAGCATAGATTATTTTGCTAAATGTTAGATTGGTTATTGTAATGCTTGTCTAAAATCCAGAAGGGTCTGTTTAAGGTAAACTTAATGTGCAGTCCTGGGAAGTGAGGGAGAGAGAGCAAAGCCCAGCTACCACTTGACTCACTTCAGTCACTTAGATTCAGATCTGCAGGCAAATCCAGCAGGGAGGTGCAGAGTTCTCTTGGGCCACCAGAAGGAGAGGGAAGAAAAGTGGAAACAGAGTCACTAGGCTTCTACTCCCTTATTAGCTAGCAAATGAGAAAGGGATAGAAGCCAAAGGGACAAGATCCCAAAGTCCCGGAGCCCTACCCTACTACTACAGATCATACCATGCACATGTAGCCATATGTTTGCTTTCAGCTCCACCTCCTTAGGAATAATGCTGGAAATTTTTGGGTTATATAATGTTTATCTATATTTGAAAGTGCTGCAAGCAAGGGAATCTGACCCTAATTTAGTAAATAGAGCCAGACAGTTTCTCCTGTTAAGCATGGCATTAGAAGGGAGAATTGAGCTGTGGATACTTGGCGTGCAAAGGGACATCTTGTAGGTCCAGTTGGTGGGTTGATGATCCCTATCATCATTTCTACCACATTACCAAAAATGGAAGGAACTAAAGACACCACGTTGTAACATAGACTTCTTTTGATTTCTACTGCCAATTTGCCTAGTACAGGCCCTTACTACTTCTTTTCTAGGCTATTGTAATAATTTAACTGGTTGCCTAGGGAACAAATCCAAATTCCTTTAGTTTGATATTCAAGGCTTTCTACTATTTGGCATTAACCTATCTTTTCAGCTTTATTTCAAATTACTCTAGGCACTAGGAGTTATAGTACTTGCCTGTTCTCTAAATATGACCTTTAATTTCTCTTCTCTTTGTCTACCCTTATTCTATGCCTGCTTCATAGAATGGTTTCTCCTTGTTGAGTTGTATTTGAATTATAATTCTGTCAATGAGCATAATATCTGTACTTTTCAGCTTTGTCCTTTGAAAATTTATTATGTATGCCATTTATACCTTTATTCAAGTTTTTGATAAAAATGGTAAATAAAAGGTCAGTGATACTGTGTTCCAGCAGTCCTCTACAGACTTCACTCCAGGTAATACTGAGCACTGAGCACTTAATCATTTTTCTTAATACTTTTTTTTCCTGGTTATTCAGCCAGTTAAAATGTCACCTAAATCTACTCTTATCTAGCCCACAGGTGTCAAATTTAGCAACCTGCGGAAAGTCCAGAGTTCACTCCAGCCAGATTGAAATGTAATTAGGAAATGTTTAACAAAATAAGTAAAAATATAATATAACAATAGATAATGTTAATTTGTAGCTTTCTAAGTCAATAAGCTACCAGCAAGGATACTTTTCTATTTGAGTTTGACACTACTCACTGATGTATCTCAAGTGTCTATCTCCTCCGTTGAAAAGACTCAAAGAGAGTCAGACATTATTTGGCTTTCTGAAACCTTCCTTAGCTATATTATATCAAAGTCATTTCCTTTTATCTAGTAATTATATCAGAAAAGAAAGTACAAGATTAGTTTGTTATGAATTAATATTGTCTCTTAATGATCACATGGTCCCTTCTTAAATTTGCAGACTTCTGTCAAAATCACCTCTATAATTTTACCAGGAATTTCATTAATTTAATAAAGGAGAAGGTGGAAAACATTCATCTCTCTCTAGTCTATTGGTGTTTCTCCTGTTTAATACAGTTCCACAGATAATCATTGTCAGTTATTCAGTAATCATATTTTTAAGGTTTTTATTTTTTTTTCAGTTCCCTGAGATTTTTCTGAATACATGATTTGAACTTTTTGAGCTTAGCTAGGTGTATTTTTTACTTTTACTATTACTTTAGGTTCTAATCCTTGGTTAATCATTTTTATTCTATCCTTCCCAGTTTGATCATTTCCATAGGTGGAGAAAACAAAAACCAATGATAAAAACATATTACCCACCCCAAGAGAGAACTGATTGAAGTATAATTTTCTGGCCTCGTTTTTTTGGGGAGGTGAGGAGGAGTCAGTGATATGATTAATATGGAAATATTTTTTTGGGGGGTAATATGGGTAATTTGGAAACATTTTACATGATTTCACAGGTATTGATTGATGTATTGCTTGCTTTCTCAGTAGATGAGGGAGTGGCAGGAGGGAGAGAATTTGGAACTCAAAACTAAAAAAAGAATGTTAAAAATAAAGATTATTTCTTTGCTTCTATCTCTAGAATTAAGGGGGATTTAGTATTTTTTTTTAACTGCTTGAATTTTAAAGGAAAGTTGAAAGTTAGGCTGGAGAGCAGAGAAATGTTTGGGAAGTTATTTTCATTCCACAATTTAAAATTATTTTAAGTTAGATGAGGTAAAGGGATAGGCAAAAAGACAACTTTAGTGGTTTGAGAACATATTATGAACTTCTTTCAGCTAGTTTCAATAGGATTTACTTAAGATTTTCTATAGAGGTAAAGAACTAGTTTATTGGTTTGAAACAGTTTACCTTTTCTCTTTCTTTTGCTTTCAAGAGGCTAACAGTGCTTTGAGGGAGAGGGCCAAGAAATGGTACTGTCAGTTTTTTGCTATTTGAATAAAAGAATGGGTTTGACTATTTAGGCTTTAAAAAAATCTATATTCTCCTTTTTCTTGAATTACTTATTTTTCTTTTGCCTTGTATTTTGCAGGAAACCAATTTATTCTTTTTCTAAACTGGTCTTATGATACTTTCTTTGAATTGCCTTGGCAAAGAGTTTCTTTGAGTCTAGAAATGAAATTAAAAAGTATCTACTATCAACAGTAGTAATAAATTAACCAGAAGTGTTATAGATGTAAACATTATTTCATATATGCTTTTTGTATAGGATAGTTTTAGTTAATTAAGCCAGCAAAGTACTTTATTTTGCATGTTTGAATTATCTAAAGTTTCATAGTTTGTCCTTTTTTTTTTTTTAAAGTGAAGAGTAACATTGAGATTCTAACTTAAGCATGTAACTGCATCCTTTATCTTGTGGTTTCATTTTAAAAAACTAATAATTGAGGGAATATATGGTGTTTAGGTGTCCAGTTCCTGGATTTTTGTTGAAAATTCAATATGTTAGCAAAGTAGAAGTTTGAAATTTCATAGAAGTTTGAAATTCTCTTTTTGTGAGAATATAAAAATACTTTAATATATTTCATTAAAAATTTATCAAAGATTTAATCCCATTAAAGTATAATACTCTTTTTCCCCCTCAAAATACTTTAGCATCTAAAAGCAGGAAAAAATATCATTGTAAATCACTAAATGATCTCTTTTGTATTTACAGCATTTAAATATTAGGACACTGACTGATGATGTGGTAGGTTGTTCTTGATTTCTCCTGTGTTCTAGAGCTTGATTAACAATTCTGCTGCATTGCTCTAACTCCAGTATTAAAAAAAAATGCATGTGCAAGCATAGTAATATTTTAAAAATAGCCAATAAGTTATTGAATTTTTTACATTATTGCATTTTGAAGTGTTTACATTATTGCTTTCAGTTGGCAAAAGGAAATTCTTAACATGCATGAAAATGTTTTTAACCTACAATTATTGGTCAATTTTAATTTGATCAAATTGGCATGCTTTTGTTTTTAATAGCATGGCTTAAAAGTTAAGTCCAAAAATAGCAGTTGTATCAACTCTTAGGAACATGTAGTTGCTAATTTAAAACAAAATAAATTTTATGTTCTAAGTCTTCACTTTCAAAATATGCTTTTCTAATGGTAAGACCAGATATGTTTTATTATAATTATTTGCTTATCTAAAATATATTGGGAGAACCTTTTGTAGTTAAGGAAGTCAATGAGTGTTAATATATTTGACATGGAATAACTTTCAGTTAATTATGTGGAGTAGCCCTAAAACTGAACATTGATACCTTTTTATTCAATCATCAGTTATTGAACACCATCCTGTATAAGGTACTATGTATATTGTTAGTACCAGGGGCATTAAGAAGATAGATGATCATGACCCATGCCCTCAAAGACATATTAAATAAGAAAATATATGTCAAGTACTACATAAAATGTCAGTTATTTAAATGATGAAAAGTCATATTGTGACCTAGAAATAGTTAGCAATTTGTTTTTGTTTGATCAATTTCTAAAATTTTAGGGTAACATTTTTGGACATTATCAGTTACCTTTCACAATTATGGTTCAGCATTTGTAATGAGATTTGCAATGTTATAGTGCCTTAATCCAGTTCTTAGAAGATGAACTCTTATATTCAAGGACATAATTATCTGCTGAATTTTCCTGTAGTATCTAAGTGACTAGAATTCAGTTATTTAAGAATATTTTGATCTCAGTGTTTCCTTGACATCTTATTAAATTTAATATAGTTTTTTAATTTGGTTAATTCATGCCCTCCAATAAGTCGTCTAAAAGCTCATGTGGATAAGATCAGGGATTTAGAAAATTTTCAGGTTCCGTTATATAAGCTTACATTAAATTTGAGAAACATTTCATTGTAGGTAGTTAGGCTATTGTTTTATACACTGATTCTTTTATGTGGAACTTGTGAAGTTTATCTGATGTTACTAAAGTTATAGCTCTATGCCTAGAATCATTAAAGAATGGTCTTTCAGTCCATTCTTATACTTTGGGCAGGAACAGGGCAGATCAGTATAGAATGGGCAAGGCTGGGACTGTGTCCAGGCTGGAAAGACCCTGCAAGCAAGAAGTCAACAGGCAGGAAGGGTGGATTGGGTAGCACTAGAGATCTAGATCATTATGAAGTGATCAAGCAGAGAAAAATGATGTTGAGTCTGAGAAGTCAGATTTATTTAACAAGGGTACAACTAGCTAGAAATACAGATGAAAGAAAATTCAGAATGATTCAGAGACAGCTAGTTGTTCTCTTTATAGTCATTGCTGTATCATATGTACAAACATACACGCACTTGTGGTTCGTAGGATTGAATTTTGTAGCTGAGTGGGGTGTGTGTGTGTGTGTGTGTGTGTGTGTGTGAGAGAGAGAGAGAGAGAGAGAGAGAGAGAGAGAGAGAGAGAGAGAGAGAGAGAGAGAGAGAGAGAGAGAAAGAACCGAAGCCAGAGTTGGTTTCTACTTCTTAAGCCAGGAGTAAATGACTAGGAATTCTTTTAATGGATATGGGATTGATTGTCATAGAGAACTAACCAAGTATTACTTTTTGTTGTTTATTCAGTATGGACCAATATGTTATTTTCCTATTACTCTTTGCTGTAAGATAGCAATCACATTCTTTGCATATAAAAATGCTTAATAATATGAATAACCTTTTTTCAGAATGACTTGAGAGAAGGAACACAAAAAGGTTTTCTGCTGCAGCCATAAATTTGAATAATAGTTTGCTAGAAACATTAAAAAGGAATATCATGGGAAGCATTAATATTAAATCTCATCTCTTTAAGTTGCTTTGTTAGAGGTCTGCAAAGTACTTCACATTTCAAGGTTATCTCCTGAGTTACTCTATCAAAAAGTATTTGCTCAGAAGACTCATTTTGAATGCGCTATTGGATTACTTTTGTAGGTGCCTCAAAGGAGAGAATTAAATTCAGCAAACATTTATTGACTGCTGTGTGAAAAAATCTTGGTGATACAAAGTTTAGTTAAGAGCAAACTTTGCTCTCAGAGTGCTTATAGTCTGACCAGAATTTAGGATACACAGGTAAAAACGCAATAAAATAAGTGTATTGGAGTGCTACAGAAGAAAGTAGAATATGTAGCCTCAGGGATGGAAAGTCAGGGAAGTCTTCCTAGAGGAGGTTACCTTTGGGTTAGATTTTAAAGAATGTGGAAGGATTCAGTTATCAGAGAAGGGATAGATTGGCTTGTCGAGCATAGGCAGAAATATTAGGAAAGCTTGGAGATAGCAAATTATAGCAGTAGTTAGTCAATAGTCAAGACTGAAGTGAGTTCTATGGCACTTTCAAAACAACTTTGACAAAATGAAATAACAGCAACAAAAAAGAGGGGAAAGGAATGAAACATTCTTAGGGAAAATTACATACCAAAGAATTACATAATCAAAGAAGAAGCCCCAATAAAAATAAAATAAATTAACATTTATTTGGCACCTTCTATATTTAAGGCATTAGTAGCAAAGAACAAGACTGCAATAATAGCAGCTACATTTCTAGATGTAATCTAGATCAGATGTGAGAACCTCCATTCAGAGTTAGAGAGTCAGAGTCAATAAACATTTACTAAGTGCTTACTATGTGCCAGGCTAAGGGCAGGGGAAATAAAGAAAGGCATAAGAGAGTCTCTGCTCTCAAAGATCTGACAATCTAATAAGTGAAGACAACACGTTAAAAAAAGCTGAAAAGGGAGAGGAGTATCTAGCCCAGAAGCATGATGTAGTCCTGCCCCTGAGATAAAGATAATCTGAAAAGTGAGTTATGGAATTGAATTAATCTTAGAGAATGATGACTTTTTGAAGATCATCAAATTCAGGAGTTCAGCCTGGTGGGAAACTGGGTTGAATTTCCTGAGATCCCTCCTCAAATAGAAGGTTTGGGAGGAGCTTCTAGATGTCCAGCCCATCCTCTTCAACTAGGGGTAGGAGGGAACCCCAAAGGCAAGGGATGATGAGGTGTGAGTTTCATAGTTCATCCTCCAGAAAAGTGAGTTTCTAGAGATCTTGAAATCCTGGGGATTGGCTAGATAGGATTAGTGTGGTTTAGAATTAAAATGAGATGGAAAAGAAGATTTCATGTCTTTAAGATTGGAGATAAGATCAGTAAAGGAAGAATTCAAGAACATTAGCATTGTGTTGGACAGCGACTCTAAATCAATTAAACTCAGAGACTTCTCAAGGTGGAAGCAAAGATTACTTTTTATTACAATCTCGGGAGAAGGGGCATCTGCTCCCCTGGTACACTTCCAGGAAAAGAGAGGCGAGGCACAGAAAGCAAAACGAGATTATATACCCTAACCGCAAAAAACCTCCACCCACCACTATCCCTTACTCCCATTGGCTGGGGAGTCGGGCTTATATTCAAAGACAAAGAACAAGGACACAGGGTGTAGCCAATCCAAACACACATGTCCTTATTTAGTAAACCTAATGCTGACTTAGCAGTGGTGTGGTTTAGGGCCGTGGAGGGGGTTTAGGGCCGGGAGTTAGGTAATTCCTAGGAAACCGAATTTTACTGCAATTTCCCCCCCCAACCCCCTTCCCCCTTATCCCAGAGACAAGAAAAGGTGGGAAGCTAAGGGCAAGCAGTTCAGGTTGGGGGCAGGACTTATTTTTTCTGTTTTGTGCTTAAAAACAGCGACTGAGAGGGGTCTGATTGTTGAAAGCAACAATCAAATATTAACAAGAACTATTGATCCCCTGAGGAGTCTTCACTTTTGAGAGATCATCTCACACAGCATGAGAATATGTAGACAAGGTGGTGGAAAATTACATTGAAGTAGTAGATTTTCTCAGGCCTAGGGTGGTTCATGCAGAAAGAAAAAAATGCAAAGGTGGAGGACTAGATGGCAAATTTAAAAATTGTTCAAGTGGAATAATAAACACATGATCAGTGGAGTAAGCAATTCTTGGCATAGTTCCCAAATCTTGGCATCTAGAATCATTAGATAATGTTTTGGATATATAGTAATTAAAATTGTGGCAGGAGGAGAGAATAGCAAATAATTCCACACAGGGTAAAGCCTTTTGAAATAACAATGGAAAGTTGAATGAAGAATCTATTTCCCCATGCCTTTACCTATAGAACTCACTCTACTTTATTGTGTGCCTCTCTTTTAACTTTAGGCTCTGGTAGCATTTTATCCCTTCCCTTCATGGCTACAACTCACTTTCATCTCTGTCACTGTAAGTGAAAGGAATTGACCTTGTCAATTCTTTTGATTGTCAGAGAGTAAACAAACAGCTGGGAAGGATGAGAGCTATGAGTTTAGAACTTAACTTTTGTGCTGAGATGCTTTGTGGCCCAGTGGATAGAGGGCCTGGAATTAGGAAGACTCATCTTCCTGAGTTCAAATCTGGGACCCTGGGCAAGTCACTTAATCTCCTCCCCTCCACCGCATTCCCCGAATTTGCCTAAGTTTCCTGTTCTGTAAAATGAGTTGGAGAAGGAAATGGCAATCTACTCCAATGCCTTTGCCAAGAAAATCTCAAATGCGGTCATGAAGAGTTTTACATCATTGAAACACCTGAGCAACAACAACCAGGTTAGGTATAAACCTAGCATCAACTCTCTGTTCCCGTCCTCTAATAGAGTTTCTATGCAGTACTGAGCCAAACAAATAACTCATCCCTCAATACAAAGGAAGGCTTTGAAATCATCCATCCCTGTTGGTCTGAAAAGGAGAAAAACCA